GAACTGGAACTTTTTGCTTTCTGTGGAAGATTGGTGACGAAGCGCTTATGGGAGTGTCTCGAGTGCTGTGATGTGGATTCTTAATTCAACATGTGATCATTAAAGAGTGAGTAGTTTTTATCCATTAGATCTCATGTCTATGATGACAGTAATCCTAGACAGCTGCTACTGTGGTGTAAGGCGCTGAGAGATGGAATAAAAAATAAAAGTTCAATCTTCTTCTTCACATTCACTGTCTGAAAACAGAAGCTGAAAGTGCTGGGTTTTCTTTCACTTCTTAATTCACATGCACACACATGTTGAGATTGGTGAATCAGCCATGTGGACTAGCACCTGAGGCAACAAATGACATCCTTCAAGACTCCCAGTACAACATTTCCGGGCAAACTTCTGGTCAAGAAAGATACTGGTGGAAGCCAAACTTTACGGGCCATTAAGTGAATTAAAAAAGACAGTGAAGTTCATACTAGAGGAGACATCATTGCAGATATAGATAATTTTTTTTTCAAGCGAACGAAAAAAGAAAAAGAAGATTTTTGGTTTTATTCCAGGCTGTGACGTGACGGGTGGTCTTTAATGGTTTATAATGTTGAATAGGGATGTTCCTCTCAACCCATTCCCTCCACCAGATTAACCGAACTAAAATCTGAGCTATGTTGCTCTCAGACAAAGTCCTGGATATCCAAGAAAACAGCCATATTGGCTCGTTAAGTACTTTAACATTAGCTGCACTTGGTACCCACAAGAGAAGGCAAGGAATTTTAGATGTCTATCATACTTAATGAATTATTAGACAGGGCAAGTGATTCCTCCGTCATCTACCTTCTCCCGGTGTTATTATTAATAATTAAAGAATTATTATATTATTTGAGCCCCCACCAAATGGTGTTCTATCCTAACAGTTTAATTAAACATGTAAGAACAGACATTTGGAATTTAACAAACTATGTAGTTTAAAACTTGACATACAGCTTTATGTACTACAATGAAATTACCAGTTTGTTGATTTACACAAACAGTGACTGGTTAATGAAAGTGATACGCTTCAGCGAGACAAACAGCTCGGGGTTTAGAGTGGTATGATAATGATGATAAAAGGTTAACATAAAGGGGTTAACTCAACTTATAAGCCTCTGACAGCCGTGAGGAACTGTCAAGCTTGTCCAACTCTTCCTTGCCTGTTGTCTGCCTGTTTCAGCTTATTCTCCACTTCCTCCCCACCTCGTTCTCCACATCGTTCTCCACCTCGTTCTCCACCTCGTCCCCAGCTGGCCGAGTCTAACACAATGTAGGCTACTTCATGGACTGATCGTCACATGGGCGCTGTAATCATGGAAACAAAACACATACGTGTAGTATCTTGACTTACACTAAGAATACATGTATCAATTAATACAACATATAATAATAAGATATAGCCCATCACTCCTCCTCATATTCCACATCCTCTCCAGTCTAGTCTGAAGGTCTTTTGTCTTACATGGGCGTCACATAACCTGCCTTCCCTCAAATGTTATGTCATGATAGTTGACTTTCTAAGTCTGTTGTCCGTCTTCACTCAGACTTCGAGTTGGCTGACATAGATTTGACATAAACATGTGGCGCAGGTTATGTGCTGAACCCGCAAACAATTTATATGTGCACGCTGTCCTGAATATTATCTTTTAGTGACCGTGAATACTGTACACCCATCATTCTTCCCCTGGGGTTATAAATCCCCTGTTTAGGTGAACACCTTAAGTGAGCACATGGTGGGCACACAAAACGTAACAGCATCCCTGCATATATGGGCTGGATTTCCCCACAGTCCAAACTCATGTTTTGGCTGATCATGGAAACAATATAATTACATTTCATTATAGCAAATGTCATTGTTCACATCTTATTTTATACACATCAAAACATACAATGAAAAACATGTGACACAAACATACAAGAAATAGGAATAGTTTAGCAGTTCCCTAACTGAGATACTGAATATTCACACAGAACTATTTCAAGCAGAATGTGCAGACAAATTAGGAAAAGGTAGTATAGACTAAGCTTAACTCCCTAACCTAAGTATACAAGATTAAAATTAATATTTTCTCTCACCTGGGAACTTTTCCATCTATCGCCAAACCAGAGTACGACAGTAAAATATACCTTTACGTCGACCTATGTTTGTTTGCCGGCAGGCTGCGATTAATGACGGGAATTCCACAGGCTCGAAGTATAAGTATCAATCTATTGTCCAAATTAAACTCCTCCCTTTCCTTAGTTTTTACCCAACCCTCAAGATGATGGCTTAAGCTCCGCCTCTGAAGTACCTATCAAATCAAATTGGCTAACCAGTGACCTGTCACTCACAGTGAACGGCCTACAGTACGACCTTGACCAAGATAAAACATTCCTAATTGCCAAACACCTGTTCTCCCCAGAATTACACTGACGTGTTAAACTTTAAACTTCTCGTCGCCTCAATGTCTACAGTCCGCTCAATTCGTGTTAGGTAATCTTTTGTGACCTACGGTCCAGCTTAGGTGTGATGCTAAGTTCCCCGTTCGCTGGCCTCTACAGTCTGTGGTCAGGAGATAACATTCTGACACTGGCATGAGAATAGAATTCCTAGCTACAGTGTAAAGTTTTAGGTAATATTACCCAAGGTTGGGTCGCTTTGTCTGGACTAAGGACTGGAAACGTTTAAATCAATACGGTTTAAAGTACATTTGGTTTAAGGGCATAGTCTCTTGTCTCTCAATAACCAGAAGAACTTATTACAAGTACTAACTTCTGGAATCACTGAGATCGTTTCGTGACACAGGCCTTGCATGCCCGGTTAACAGATCTTGCTGATTTGTACGCAGACTTTTGGTTTCTCACTTCGCAGGTACATGAACTCTGACTTTGAAGGTATAGATAGGTCCCTAAAAGTAGGAGACGTGCTCCATAGCCTACGTGTGTACCGTTTAGCCCCTCCTGACTGTGATCTGATAAGTTTAGACAACGTGAGAATAAATGTTGGCTGCACTATACCGGGTCGACACACTGTCTCGCAGACGAAGGTGCAAGGTACGCAACTTTCTTTTCTCTGAAAGACTGTTCAGAAAACTTTCTCTCTCAGTGAACGAACGCTCTGTGCAGTCGTCGGTGTGATGAGAATTATGGATATTTTGGGGGCAGGCACTCAAAAGGGCCATCTTGGGATGTGATGGGTTTTGGTAGAGGAAGTCCCTGAATAGAACGACAGCCTCCATGTTTGCATAATTGTCGGTTAGGGTTAGGTGCAGGTATGCTGACAGGTCAAAGAAATTCACAACAGAGGCGAAGCCACGAAGTAAGAACACCGCTTGCAAAGAGGGCAAGTTACAGCGACTAACGAAAGAAAGCACCACCTCCTTGGAAATGATAACACAGTAAACGATGAACATGCTGCAAACAACCAACACACAAGCCTAGAACAAAGCACTTTTAGTAGTGTAGAATTATTGTTAAACGAACATCAAACCACCCTATACAATAGAACCTTTTGGGGAAAGCCCCTAGAAATTCACTATCAAATCTCTCAGTCCACGAGATGGGGTGAAAAGGACCAAAAGTATTAAGTGTTTAAGCCTAAAGGACTAAGACTTTACTGATTAAATAATAGTCATCACACACCGGGCATACCCATAAATGTTCCGTTTCCCGTAGCAAATGTCTTAAAGTGTAGATGCTAACTGTTCTCGTAGCACACTGATTATACCCACATCATTCTCTTCCTCTCACACGTCCCTGATCCACACCTAATATATTGTTCATATGTTTTTATACATGTTATTTCATCTAATTTCGAGTCTTCTAAGAGAATTCGTTCATAAATGGTCTTTAGAATGTATCCTTTGCCCAGTACGAATGTTCCCTAACTATCGCTTTTGTAGTTTGCAACCAGAAAATCTGCTCTTTCGTTCCCTCGCACTCCCGTAAATCCTGGACAGTTATCAACGGGAGTCCCTGTAAAGTTAATATGCTGATACTTGGTATCCACTCATATCACATTTGTCCATTTTGGACCTTCCGCAGTGCCGGCTGAGAATGAGAATCTGATAATTAGAATAATTTAGCAAATGTAGCAGTAATGAGCTATAGAATAATACAAGAACAGTATGTTGTGTCTTCTTCTTCTGCCTTTCCATCCCCCAATGGAGCATAGGCCCTCAATCAACTTACGCTAAGTTGTTCTATCATTCGCTGTTGCATGGAGCTCTCCCCATGTCCTCCCCATCTTTCTAACTTCATTCTCCAGCTCTCTTCTCTATGTGTTTTTTGGCCTTCCTTTATTCTTATGCCCCTGTGGGTTCAAATGCAAAGACATTCTAGTTATGCTGTTCGCGGTTTTCTCAAGGTGTGTCCTATCCAATGCCAGCGTCTTTATCTCACCTTTTGGTCCACTGGAGCTTGCTTAGTTCTTATCCAAAGCTCTGCATTAGTTATTCTATCATACTATTTAATTCCTTCTATTCTGCGCAGGCACCAGTTAATGAATGTCTGTAGTTACTTAATAATTGCCTTAGTTGTTCTCCATGTTTCCGCCCCGTACAGAAGTACTAATTTGACATTGGAATTAAAAATTTGAAGTTCATTATTTGTTTTAATTTCATTAGGCTTCCACAAATTCCCTAGTGCTATGAAAGCTCATGCAAAGCATTGAACTGAACTCACCTTTTTACACTGGATTCATAGATTATAAAAAAGCATTTGACAGCATTGATAGGGAATCTCTCTGGAAATTAATGGGGCACTATGGAATTCCACAGAAAATTAGTAAAGGCAACATATAAAGATATGAAATGTCGAGACACACAGACACAAAATATACTTTTATTCTACGGAATTGTACACACACTCACACACATGCATACACACTCACTCCTATTTAAGACCAATACAATACAATATGGAGACAACACACATTTATTCACGTGTGACCGTAAACTATAATTGATAACCTACCTAACATGCAATGCTATATACAGCTGCTGTTAAGGAACGTTGGCGTATCCAATAGTTCTCCTGACAGAAATGTACAGGACCCAACCCCCAACACTGATGAGAATTCCGCCTATGATGCTCAGCACGCAAGAATAGCCTATGTCATCGGTGTCGTCCTTGACAGCGGCAGCCCAGACGATAGCGCAGATGATAGTGATGAAACCTGCAGAACACAGTAATGGATAATGTTGAAACTTGAGAATGCAGCAATTGATAATGTTGACGCTGCTTCAGGATACACAGAGTTTAGTCAGGTAATCAAAGCAGCAACTTCATAGCGCACAGGTCACCCCATAATTACTCTGTTTTTGTGCGAACGAAAACCACACAGAATGTCCATCGCTGTTACTTGAGAGAAAATTGACACATTACAGTCTTAGAAAGTCCAACAATATAGACACGTATTAAATGCATAATCACAAATTCAAACACAATCAAACCAGCGTTGGACGCAACAGATCCGTTGCCATGTGTACCACAAATTCACGACTGGGGACGCAGAACACTGCACAGGTACAAAAATAATAACAAACATATGCCACAGTCACGTTTCGACACGCAGCAGCGAGATCAAAGTTCTGGCCGTTGGAATTCTTACACACAAAGTTAATTACGGGAAAGGATGAGTGAAATGAATATCACAATCTCTTTATTTATCATTCTCTCCCCCCCCCTCCCCCCCCCCCCTCCAATTTCCCGTGCGGAATCCGGGGCCCTATTATAGGGGAAAAAGAATAGGCCCACTGCCTATCCAAAAGCATGTCTTAAGAGTAGACTCATTGGGAGCATCCTTCAAAGTCACAGTGCATCTGCCTCAGAGGCAAGGAACGAACAGTCTGCACACAAATGTGTCAGATCTGTCAAACGGATGGCCAACACGAGAAATACCCCACTATATATATGTTTACACCCCAGGCATAACCAAGCGTAACCACAAAGTTTTGATCACGATGCCTGACCGAAAGATTGCATGTATGTACTGCAAACAAGATGACCACTGGTCGAACAAGTCTCCGGAAAAGAGGCAGCGACAACAGTCATACCAAATAAAACGCCGGAGATCCCGACAGACAATCCGGAACCAAAAGAAGCACCTGGGAAGTCAACACAACCAGAAATCAGTCGAAAGAAAACCAAGGCGACTGATCCCCAAATTCAAGAAGAGAGAGAAGCGAAACCTATCACATCGAAGGCCCCTCCACCCACAGTGAAAGCGGTGGTACACCAGACACAACATTCGACAGATAGCACCACGGTGACCACACCAAGGAATAATAAGACGAAACCAAACACATCGGAAGCCACTCCACGTATAGAGAGCACGATAGAAGCGACAGCGAAAGTAAAGACAACAAAAGAAACTGGCGTGGCAACCACACCCACAGTTGAGAAGGCTATGATCCAAGTACCCAAAACAGTTTCAGAGAATACAGAACCTCCAAGACCACCACCAGAACCTCCAAGACCACCACCAGAACCTCCAAGACCACCACCAGAACCTCCAAGACCACCACCAGAACCTCCAAGACCACCACCAGAACCTCCAAGACCACCACCAGAACCTCCAAGACCACCACTAGAACCTCCAAGACCACCACCAGAACCAGAAGAGGCTCCGGCTCAACTTCTCAAGACAGTCTTCCAAAATGTGGAACTTCCGGACTCACCCTTGTCTCCCTTATCCCCAGACCAATCACCGACAACTAAGGACACCCCCCGGATACCAGAAGCAAGAGAGACCACAGAAAGAACAGAAACGGATGACCCAACAATAGAGAGAGATGAAAGTATATGGTGGCACTTCTTAAGAGAGTTGGGTGAGATGAGATACCTGGACCAAGTAGAACTTAAGCAACGCATGCCAGCAAAAGAAGAATTCTACTATAGACACAACAAAAACTATATCGATGGTCTGGCACAGGAATATGCGGACAACATTTGTGAAGAAGGAGAAATACAAGAATATTCAAATCTTCAGACTTTTTACGACGCAAATAAAAGGGATTTCAAAACAACAGCAGAAAGATGGTACCAGAAATGGAGAAAATACCATTTGGACACAATCGACTCAACAACAAAAAACATTCAACCTCTAAGGAAGTTGTGATTCGGGCACCAGTAACGGCCACACCAGCCGGGCGTAACCTGTAGATTTGTTCGAAGGATGCAATTTTCTGACGTTTTACATCACACCGAGGGATTAACACCCTGTGACACAAAATGCCCTCAATCGGATGAGAATGGCCCGGAAACAAGTCCCAGAAACCCCGTTCAACCAATAGGTTGGGTTATATTAGGGTCCCCGGCCACAGCCGGTGTGGGACTTAAACATAATGAAAAACTGCGTCCCGCATGGGGACGGACGGTGTATTATTTCTAATGATGTGTCCAGTGTGTTTTATGTAATTCTTGTATGAGTTACCAAATCTGTTTTCGTTACTTGGTTCATTTCAAAATGTCTTTAGGACTCACCTTTATGCTGTTATCAAAATTTCGTCATCCACTTGTAGGATGCATTTTTTAGTTATTTTGAAGCCCCACTCAGGCTTTTGCGGGGGGGGGGGGAAGGGGGGGGGGTGTCGTGAAATGATAAGCCATTACGCATCAGTCTATAAGACTGGTAACCTAACTTACCTGTAAATCGGCACAAAATTCAAACTTGGACTCGTCCGGAAAGATATAGTCCCTTATATCTATATATATAGGTCTTTATTGGACAACATTATTATGTCTACATTTTCTGGTTGCTTTAACTAAACTCCACTTTTAAATGTATATATTAGGGGAGTTATTTGAGGTTTCTTTGAAACCGATTTACTCCTTGCCCATGTATACTAGGGACTTCGTTTTTTACCAACGCCTGAAGTGTCGAAGTGACGCCATTCTCTTTGCCAGCTTCCTTGCGTCCAGACGTGTCAATCGATGCCTGTATAATTTCAATTTCATAAGGCAATCTGGAATGTCTCAGACTTTTCATATGCTTGGGTAAGTTAATTATAGTTTACGAGTACCTAAAATGATATCTGTTAAAGTAGTCACTGCTGTAGAGAGAACAGTATCGGCTGTGGGATCACACATCGTTCAACCGTTCTTGATCGCTAGAGAAGCAGATTCGAACGTAGACCTGTACAGACTAAATAGCCTTTGCCCTCAATAACCCACCCATACTGGTAAAACTAATACCCTTATAAGTGTGTACGTTTTAAACTAACTGTGGAAGTTTGTGCATACAAAATGGGGACAGAATTAGGTCAGGACTTTGTCGACCAGTGTATGAGTGTGTTTGACCCGGATCAATGAATGGTAAGACGGGCTTTTGGGGAGTGTAAGGAATAAATGTACTGACGGTGGATATTGGTGTCTGTGTGCAGAGGGGAGGGGAGAGAGAGAGTGATATATGTGTTAGAACACTCTATCTATCTCCACTGTATATCTGACTTGCCTTCTCTTGCACTAAACAGACAGATGAATATAAGAGACTTGTGTCTCTTGGTCTGGAGAGGCATTCTGAGGAATGAAACAGGAGAGCAGGGTGGAGTAAGCAGATGGGGGATGATGACTGATGCTTGTTTTGTCTTCCCTGTCAAGATGTTACTCTCTTGGTGATGACTAATTCTGAGTTATTTCTTGACAGGATGTATCCTTTGTGAGGAGCTGGCAGAAGTTTCACAGTCCAACCATAACCCACCAACCATAACCCACCAACCATAACCCATCAATCAATGAACCCATTACCTACCACTTATCACCCAACTACCAAGTGTGGAGATTGATGTCAGTTTGAGGTGCCATATACCCCAAACTTCCTACAGTGCCAGAACATGTGTGTAGCTCATGGACAGTGCTGCTAATAACTAGTGGGAGCCATTTGCTGTGTAATTATCCAGTTGCGGTGTCCTTTATGGTGAGGTACTCCTCCACCAGCTGATCCAGTTGAGGCAGAGTCACCAAGGACAGTCGAATCATCAGGAGCTGAGGGAAGCATCATAGACGGAAAGAGGATAAGTTCAGTTTGATGCCTTACTTGCAATATTCCTCACAGCTCACATGTTTCCCAATGATGACAATGTGTCATCTCCAGGACCTTCTGTCTGTGTAATTTTGGAAAAAAATAAAAAGCACAAAAAAGATTTTAAGTGGGACCCTGAAAGGGGCCGTGTGGTTGGAACTCAGTGACAAGCTTATCGATTTCGATGTGGTGTACAAGGAAACAGCCAAGGAACAATCATGGACAGAGGGCGTAACAGCTCACACAGGCAAAAAGGAAAGGACAAATAGAAAGATCGGTAATCAAGGCACAACCAAACGCCTACAAAAAAAACAAAACGACCTAGAGTCAGCACACATACAAGGACTTGATATAGTCACCGCTCAATCAGGAGCAGACTGAAAGAGTCGAGGAGTTTTATAATTTTTGTTTTCTACCAAGTTCAAGTTCAAGTAATATTACCATCGATAAACTGTACGTAGCATATCAAATAAGCATTTATTATTATCCGCAGCCTCATCTAACTGCAGTCCAAATTCGACTCCGATCAATTTTTTTTTTTTTTTTAGTTAATTGATCGTTTAAATGCTTCGCCATATGTTGCATTCTCCGACTCACTGTGTTATTGGACAAAGGCACTGTTAACCATATCTACAGCAGCCGGTAGAGTAAGTTCTTCTGCGATGGTATAGGGCTTCTTACATTTCACGATTCTGTAAGCCACTTTATAAAATGCTAGCAAAAGGGTTGTTTGGTATTTATACTGTTTTAAAAAATGTCTTTCGAAAACCCAGCTTTGCACAAATACGTTGTCAAAAATGATATTAAAATCCGCGCAGCCTTATCATTTGGAAGGGGATATTTATCTTTTTTTTTTAATCCAAAATTCTGTCAATTCCTTGCGCTGTTGAATGACCATCTCTTTGGACCAAATAACTCATCACTACCATCACAAAAAGGGGCAATTTACAACACTGTCAAAGTTATAGGACTTTAAGTCTCATCAGCCATCACAGTAAAGTCATGCTCAAGATACTACTAACAGATTAAAGCCACATGCACAAAATATCATAGCAGAGAAACAGGCATTTCATGAATCACGGCAGACATCTCTACAAAGTACAGAAATAAACAAATAAAGAAGAACATATGTTGATATAACTGTGTAGTAACGCACTTGACGAGATTCTGCGAGATATGTCTGGCAATAAATTCTATATAGAATTTATCGTTTATGTCTGAAGAAGACCCCCCCCCCCCCCTTTCCACCCCCACCCCGCCCCACACAAACACACACACACAAGACAAACTAAAGACACATACTAGGCTATATATCATGGACTAGTAGAACGTGGTCGACGTTTTGGTCACCCCTGTAATAACTATTGAAACGACCGCCATGACAACGACAGAAATCACTGCATTGCAAAAGTATTAACCACAGCAACGATTGCTGCAACCAGAACAGCATCTACTGCTGCATCTTTCACTACTAAACTTGACTGCCCAATGACTACAACAAATAATAGTCGTGTCAGACTTGCTGCTTTTGTCAATGTCACAACAACGACTGTTGGTGCCAGAGAAAAGTAAAAATAATAACAGCAACCATAATATCAACTGTTAACCTGGTGCTGGTGATGTGTTTATTACTATCACCACCATCAATACGACCGCTACTGATACCGATATACTACTATTGCTGTTGCTGTTGCTGCTGCTACTACTACTACTACTACTACTGCTGCTGCTGCTGCTACTACTACTACTACTACTACTGCTACTGCTGCTGCTGCTGCTGCTGCTGCTGCTACTACTACTACTACTACTACTACTACTACTACTACTACTACCACTACTACTACTACTACTACTACTACTACTACTACTACTACTACTACTACTACTACTACTACTACTGCTACTGCTGCTACTACTACTACTTCTACTACTACTATTACTACCATTACTTTTTTATCTTCTCCAATGTACGTTTTCTTCTTCTCCTCCTCCTCTACCACCTCCACCACCAATATTACCAGTGAAGAGGCATGTAGCGTCTGTAGTCGACGATAATACTTTCCATTGCCAAAGAAAAACTCTTTTACTATCTGTTTTTTTTTTTTTTACACAAACACCACTTAATTTACGTTTTAAACACAGCGAAAAAAACATCACACGATCCATGCTGAACCTTTACGGTTTGAAGCTACCAGTTGCTAGTTCTACAATGATAGTTGCATGCGCATATTTTCAACAGCTAAGCGAGGTTGAGGAAGATATGAGCGAGGTGGAGGAAGATATGATATGATACCACATGCAGTGTAATCGTTACCTGCTGACGCTTACACATACGAATTAATCACGCTTCACTATTTACTACTACTACTGCTACTACTGCTACTACTACTACTACTACTACTACCACCACTACTACTACTACTACTACTACTACAACTTATACTACTAATACTGCTACTACTTATTCTTATCCTTCTCTTTCTCTTCTTTCTCTAATACAGCAATTACTACTACTACAAAGGTAACTAAGTACATTAAAGCCATATCAGGCCAGATATCTTACCAGTGCCTTCATAATTAAAACAGTTCCCATTCAAACAAGCACGAAAGAGACCTAGTGTTTTGTCGATGAGGCCGTTGTCAAAGACCGACCAGGCCGGGGTTGCCAGGCCAATGATATGAAACAGAATGCCAAGTCCAAGGACAACCAGACCTGCTAGATACACGGGGTGTAGTCCCAGGGGTAGCATGCTTGTGTTGCTCCTAGAAGAGAGAAAACGCCGTGTTCATTGGTTGATGGCGGTCAAAGAAGGTAACAGCACTGCTTGTTAAGAAAAGTAAAACACCTCCTCATTTGACCACCCACCCACGCACACACGTACACACACACACAGACATACACACATACACACCCTACTAGGTACGCCGCCACAAAGAAAACAGTAGTGGTCTGAAGCTTCATTTAATTTTCTAATAATAATAACTTTAATAATGATAATAATAATTATTATTATTTGTATGCACTGAATAACAAATAAATATGTGAAATAATATGACATATATAAACAAATGCTTCAAATTAGATCATGGGGGAAGAGGGGAGGGGGGGGGGAGCACGCTGTTGTTTGGTGGAGGAGCTCAGCGCAGCTAAAAAAATGTTATACGGCGGTGCGGCCCAAAACTCCTAAATGTGCCGGTGCTTTTTCAAGCGTATTATTTTTGAGGGTGATCATAAGTCATGTTTTCGCTGGGACAGTATCGTTGTTTTTTTTTTTACGGCAGACCCAGCCCGTCCCATCGATACTCAAAATAAACTGGGAAAATTTACCTTCTCTCTCTCTCTCTCTCTCTCTCTCTCTCTCTCTCTCTCTCTCTCTCTCTCTCTCTCTCTCTCTCTCTCTCTCTCTCTCTCTCTCTCTATCTCCCTCTCTCTTTCCTCTTCCTCTCCCTTAGTATCGACCCGACGATCTGGACCTACCAAAACAACGATACTGTCCAGACAAAATAGTCACCCTTTTTTGTCATTCAGTACATTTTTATTGTTGTTGTTGTTGTTGTTATTATTATTAATATTATGTTAAATGGCAAATGGATGTACACGTATAAATATATGTGAAAAAAATAAGAAGAGGGTAAACACATACTGTTTATTGAGAATTTATTATAGTGGTCTGAGTCCCCCTTTTCCGTTACAAAATTGTTGAGAGAAAACTCCCCCCCCCCCCCCCCCCCATTTACTCATTTTCTAGATAACAAAATTGTGAGAACCTCAAGTTCCTTGAGCACCCCTCCCAGCAAATTTGTGGGTCCTAAACTTTAAGGTCCGGCACATATAGTGGATCCTGTTATCAACAATAATCTAGTAAAACATTATAGGTTTCCACCCCCAGCGATCAAATATGTAGATAAAACAACAACAACAAAACAATGTGAAGGAGAAATCCGGTTCCGTCGATAGCTGCTGAGTTGAATGCATGGTGCGACACTGTAGGCTATGGATTTCATGCGGAATGCTTTTTGTCTGTGCTCCCGAACATGTGTACTGTACACTGCATTTTCAGAAAATGGCGAGTGGCTCATTGCCGAATAAATGGCAGTGTGCTTTGTGCAGTAATGAGTATACATCTGCATTTTTTGGGTGACATGATTGCTGCTTCCATCAACCATGAATTACAATTCTAATGAGATACTGCAGGCGTTGACACTAATGAATGCCTTATGCATTTGATACATGTGGAAGCTGTTGCAATTTGCTGGGATTGCTGTCTGTCTGTCTGTCACATGGGACAACGATGGGCATTGTGTGTGGTTTTCCCTAGCACGCAAGCGAAGCAATTGTAAGATTGCCTGTTTGCAATCAAGTTAACACCCCGACTGATGGCCTAATAGGTTGATTGGTACTTAGTGGGTAATGTGAGCATGTATGTACGTAATAATATTAATAACAATAATAATATTACTCGTTATTATTATTATTATTATTATTCAATATGAATAATGTTTTTAGAACAAAACAACAACAGATACTCACGTTCAGCCCTAGCTACCAAACGTCAATAGACTACACTATTATACAGTCCTGGGCACTTGAACACAATAGTGTGTCACATGTTATTCGTTTTCACAACATTTATCAACCGTAGATAATTAAAGATACGAATTTCTTGAGGGCCGCTTATCTTTGATTTTCATTGTTGAAGAGTTTTTTTTTACTTTAAGATCTGTACAATTAGATACCGAGATTAGATACAGATTTCTTTTCGAACAGATTATTATTTGGAAAGTGTGACCGCTTTTCACAAATCGCCATCCCTGTGTGGGTACGAACCCTATTGTAGGGAAAACAAGAATAGACCCACTGCCTACCCAAAACGTTACGTTAGAGTCGACTAATTCAGAGCTTCCTTCGAAGCTGGAGTGCACTTGTCTGAGAGGCAGGGAATCAACAGCTACATGCAGATTTTCATATCTGTAAAACGGATGCACACGTAACACTCAGGTTTAAAAAAAAGACTAAAAGAAGAAGAAGAGGAAGAAGAAGAAGAAGAAAAAGAAGAAGAAGAAGAAGAAGAAGAAGAAGAAGAAGAAGAAGAAGAAGAAGAAGAAGAAGAAGAAGAAGAAGAAGAAGAAGAAGAAGAAGAAGAAGAAGAAGAAGAAGAAGAAGAAGAAGAAGCAGAAGGAAGAAGAAGAAGAAGAAGAAAAAAGAAGAGGAAGAAGAAGAAGAAGAAGAAGAAGAAGAAGAAGAAGAAGAAGAAGAAGAAGAAGAAGAAGAAGAAGAAGAAGAAGAAGAAGAAGAAGAAGAAGAAGAAGAAGAAGAAGAAGAAGAAGAAGAAGGAAGAAGAAGAAGAAGAAAAAGAAGAGGAAGAAGAAGAAGAAGAAGAAGAAGAAGAAGAAGAAGAAGAAGAAGAAGAAGAAGAAGAAGAAGAAGAAGAAGAAGAAGAAGAAGAAGAAGAAGAAGAAGAAGAAGAAGAAGAAGAAGAAAGAAGAAGAAGAAGAAGAAGAAGAAGAAGAAGAAGAAGAAGAAGAAGAAGAAGAAGAAGAAGAAGAAGAAGAAGAAGAAGAAGAAGAAGAAGAAGAAGAAGAAGAAGAAGAAGAAGAAAAAGAAGAAGAAGAAGAAGAAGAAGAAAACATAGCTCCATTTCTTTTTCAAATACTTTTTTTTTTAAAAAGCGAGACTATCTATGTTGTGTGAAACTAGGAAAAAACTGTAAAAAAAGAACAAGTGAATTATTAAGATATGAGGAGAAGACGATGGCGTTGGATAGAACACGCAGTGAAATAACATACCAAAAAAAAAAATAGCTAGCATGTTCTTGTAAAGGGAACCCAGGGGGTTAAATTAATAAATGTAGAACAAAATGCTTGGAGAAGAGAGTCAGAGAATGTGGTAAAAAGATTAAAAGGACTTTGGTTGAACTGCAAGATGTGGAGCAAACGATAGGACGACGGGGAAAGCTGGCTAAAGGACTTTGCTTTTGTGGCGAATAAAGAGCAAAAATAAGGAACAGGAAGATGAGGAGGAGACGAAGAAGAAGTACAATAAGTAAAAGCAGAAGAAGCTGTAGGGTAAACATTGATAAAAAAAAATGCAAACAAACATAACGACAGCATGGTTAGTTGAAAACAGCAGCTTTGATACTTTTACAAAAAACTATGAACTATGCAAAGTTTTATTAAGAGATCGGTTGCTGTGTTTCACTGATTGCTATAATTATATTCTACACACTAGAAGAGATTATACGAGATAAGCCAGGCATCTTTTGAGCAAACTGCTGATTGTCGTCAATATTCGTAATTAATTCATTGTAAACCGGGCTCTCTGCGCCCATTACGTGTGTACTATTTGTTAATTTCTCTAGAGGTTCAACTTGATATCCGAAATGTGTTTTGTTGGCATTCCGCGGCTTTTTGAGACACTTTGTTTCAAACTTACAGGTAGCAATCCAGAGAGAAAGCCAGTTATAATTCAAAGATGAATTTGTTTTGAAAGTTGTTCGTTCATAAAGAAATATCAATTTCTCTTGAGAGACTACTGCTGCAGGTGCAGGTGTCTGGACGGGCTTGTGACAAAATCAAATCTATTTGGAGAAATTTATCAAGCATCTATTTTTAACTTATATCAAGGGGTCTTCGTGGTGAAGTGATTAAAGGTTGTCTCATGCTCTAAAGGTTGCTTGTTCGATTCCTGGCTCCATCCTTCCGTTGAGAAGCACAGGTATGTTTATAATCTCTGAGGTGGCTACTGTAACTAGGCTTATACTTTAATCAGCGCTCTCTACTGAGGGAGATCAACCCGCCCTTCCAGAATTCCTGTTGTCTGTGTGTGCCCGTCTAACTCATCTGATTTGTATTTTGTTGTTGTTGTTGTTGTTCTTTTTTTGGACTAGTGGTCTTGTAGATTTATATAATGTGTAGATGAAGGCTTCCGAGCCGCACCGTTAACTTGTCGTTTGTGTTCGTGATATTGTGAAATTGACTGGTTGTATTTTTAGCTAAAAATTTTTTTTAATGATTATCTATATGGGATAACAACCGGTGCAGCAAAGTCCATCCTCTAGCTTCTTCAATCATGTCATCATTTACTGCGTAGGTGGTTTGAAATTCCATTTTCTGTCTGTAACTCTAAAAACTTGGACGTTGTTCATGAGCAGGATGCGAGTGTAGTAAACAAAACAAAACAAAACGTTAACCACCTGAATACATTGTCGGAGAAAACATACGCACACATAGACAAAGTTATAGGTTTGTGGTCTTTTGTTGTTCCAAAGATCGATAGACCTGTGGCCAAATTCTCATGTTTGGTCAACATTAGTGTGGGTACAGAACCCCCTGTTGCCCATGTCTGACGCATGTCATGGGTTGACGTGGGAAGAAGGTTTGTGTAGATGTCAACCCCAAAAAAGTCCCTCACTCCAGTGAAATAAAGTCTTGTGTCCCAGCTTCACTTTGAGTCATTCTGAAGTTTCAAGGACTACCAACAAAGTCATTTCCGGAGAAATTTAAAGTTGGTAACTGTATCTGTATGAAATAAAAGAATTTAACACGATTAATGTAGAAGTCGTTTCACGCTATATAGGCAAAGTAAGGGACCCGTTTCCACGCTTTTAGGCGTATCAGGTATATATAAGTATGTAAGTAAAGATCCCTTATTACGCCTTTGGCGCATCGGGTATATGGGCAGAGCGTCCCATATTTTCACAGACCAATCGGCACTGGATGGGTAATGTGGTCAGCATTATGCCGGCCGTCT